CTGGGAATACCCGGTGTCGTAGACTTTTTTATCTAGTTTGTTTTAAACTGTATGTACTTCATGTAAATTTAATTATTATGCGACAAATATTTACTATTAAGTTAGAACTTATATTTTAAAATATTTTGTAATTTTACTTTACATACTAGCATACAATACACAAATATTTAGCAAACAATAGACAATTAAAATAGTCATACAATTTTTAATTGCTTATAATCAGGACTTTGCAATAATAATGCTAATCTATTTTAATTCTAATAAACGAATTGTGGTTAACGTATAGCATCGCTGTGTAAACCATGTTTAAACATGTTGTAGTTAACTAAATAAATGTATATTTGCTACGTATTGGCTTAATCTCATTAAATGTTAACATTTAAACCCTATTAAATCATTGTTGTTAATAAAGTTTTTAAATAAAAAAACTTGTGGAATATGTGTAGAACCACATCTAGTCAATTTATAAATCATATTATGATATGAATTTAGCTTGTGTAAATATAATGTAAGCGTATAATAAAAATTAAATTAGTAAGTTTCATTTATTTAACAGAATTATGTTTAATCATTACGTATTATTCAATATATTAATTATTTTGTTTACAGCCGAATACTCAATCAATATTTATTAATTAAACTTAATAGAAGTGCTGACTATTTAGTTTGTTTTATTAAAATTGATTAATTCTATATTTCTTGTCAACAAAATAATTAACATCTAAATCGATATATGAAACACTAGCTAAAGCTGAAACATTATATAAATTTCTCTGATAGTTTATCAGAATATAGTCAATGTTTCTATTCTTATAAACATAATATAACTTTACAACATATAAACTTGGTATAAAGTTTGACTATTGTAGGAATTATGATGAATAAGTTAAAGAATAATATATTTTCAATCATATCATATGTGATATGTTTTACGGGATGTTTGTATCAAATGCTGGAAATAAGTCTCATATACTTCTCGTACGAAACCATTACTGATGTTAAGTTTGATTCGCAGTCTATACTACAGGTGCCGGCGATTACATTATGCCTCAAAAAGGAGAATTTACTGATGGATGAATCAAGCTCAAACAGAACCAATTTTGAAACACTCTCGGCCAATGAGCATTTAACCAGATCAAAACGATGGTTTGATAAACGCATTCATTGCTTAGTATTAAATCACCTGGGAGCTGTAGTACCTTGCTCAGATGTGGCCCAATATGTACACTCTACAAATAAAGATATATTCTACTGCATTACACTATTTTCAAAATGGACAACAAATTATACTGGTAAGTTTGGCGATGCTAGAGCCAATGATATGCTGATGCGTAACTTTTACGCAATCGTCACAGTGGATAATGGTCAAAAGTTAGCAAGATGCGATTACTTTTTCTATATACATGATAAAGAGAACCGAGTGTTTAAATTTGATAAACGAGGCTTTGATTATATGTATAGTAGCCGAAGCAATGGGGGTCATGTTAAACATGCTAAAACAACTATCATCTATCAAAATATGATTAAGAAAGGCGCACGGTGTTTTGATCATGGGCGCACACGTGATAATTGTATTGATAAATGTCAAATTAAAAGATATCTAGAGCAATTTTCGAAATTACCTGCTGAAATTTTATTCGTCGAAAGCGATATAAGTGGCAGAAATAGTGTTGAATTTCTCGATCAATTCAACACTAGTCTATTAAATGAATGCCGGCGACAATGTACAAAGTATATTGAGTGCGTACAACACTATTATAGTGTACAACATCGGGATTTTGATTATCAACATTTTTTGCCCAATTCTTATAACATGGTGTTTGAGATACCGTCGGATCCCGAAGTGGTATACACTATAACCCGGAAAATGTCTGTCGAGGAGTACCTGTGTTTTATGGCCACACTTATGGGCCTCTGGTTTGGGTTCTCTATAATTATGTTAACAAATTTTTTGAAACAATTTTGTAATAAATATGTTTTCATAAAGTCTGAGAAAAATTATATTAAAGATATTAAGTTAAATGTGCAGAACATGTATGTAAACCAGAGACAGACACCGAGATTATTTATGTTAACAAAAACATAAATGTAATTTTTATTGTAATAAAAATAATTATTTATTATATAATTGTAATCTTATTTGTTTCGATATTGAATAAAGAGCATAATGTTATTTTACTATGCTATTTTTAAATGATATTATTCTTGTTGATAATGTTTAAGCAAATAATAAATATTTAATATAAATTTAAATTATTTTATTAGCAATAAAGTGATTTTTTGATCAAAAATTATATAATTTAAATAGTTTTAAAATTGAACAATCAGCTTAAACAAAATCCAGGTATTTCAAGGCTCTCTCTCTCTCTCTCTCTCTCCCTCGTAGTTAAATATAAAGTTAACTTTACATTACAATATTCTGCAATGCTATTCAATGTGAGAAAATGCACTAAAAGTTAGTGCAAAAGTTTTTATGTTTTACTATCTAAATTGTAGATTATAGCTTTTATGGATTATAGATTTTAAATTATAGCACTTAAAATGTACTTTTATAAACTACCATAATTAATTGAATTTGCGCATGACTTGTTCTGTAAATATAAACAAACGCAAAATATGAATATTTTTATTGACTATTACTATGAAACGTTAAAAATACTGTATAAAGTATTTTATGATTTTTAAAACAATATTTCTATGAGAAAAATGCCGACATTTGCAGAAAATATTGGTTCATATTTGGGTTTATTGGCAGAAGTGTTGGGAAATGTGTTGCGATTGAGAAACTGGTGCCAAAGTGAGCGCCGTCTGGACGGACACGTTGTGGTGATTACGGGCGCCAATCAGGGCATCGGTAAAGAGACCGCTTACCACCTCTCACTTCGGGGCGCAAAGGTTTGTACTAATCGTATATTTAAATAATAATTATCAATTAAATACTTATGCATGTTTAAAATTAATAATGATATTATTGTTTATTAATTTATAAAAATATTTTTAATTAATAGATAATCATTGGATGTCGCGATGAGAAGAGAGCCGAGAATGCGATCAAAGATATAAAGCAAAGGAACCCAAAGGCAGACATATATTCACTTCCGTTAGACTTGTCTTCACTTCAATCCGTCCGTCAATTCGTGACCGAAATCACGAAACGGGAGACAAAAGTAGATATACTTATAAACAATGCGGGCATTG